CAAAGATGATAAGTGCTAGCAAAAAGTCGACAGGTGATGAGGGCTACCCAAGGAATATATTGTTTTTTGGGTGGTCTTGCTGGTGATGGTAGTGGGTTTTTTATTTTTTATTTTATTTTTTTATTATTATTTTTTGGTGTGGGGTTGGGGGGCTCATCTGCAGTTTATTTTTTCTTCAAAGGATATTTATTTTTCTTTAAAATAGATCAGATAACATACCTTTATTGTTTGAATGGTTCAAAGGGGTCAGAATGCTTGATAATTCTTTTAGTGGCGCAGCAACAGGAACTCCTTTCTTCCCATGGATTTTAGGAGAAGACGCTGGGCCTGTAAATCAATTTTGAGAAAACCAGAAATAGCAAATGAAGGTAAGGATTCCTTGGGATTTTGATCCATTGGGTAGAAAACTCCAAATCATGGAAAGAAAATGCCATATACTAACTAAGAGAACCTATTGTGCAAGATGAGTTGCTAATGGTGGTGTTTCTGTAGTACTTGGATGAATATTGGTTTGATCTAGGGAAATACTTGTGGGTGGTGAGGAAACTGTCAGTAATTTACATATATGAATTTCTATATAAGTTTCACATTTACCTGGAGGGGGTGGCAACTTGAATGGAGAGTTCGTGGCTGGTGCTTCGTGTTGGAGCCTGTTATGTTCCTTGCTAGATTCTGGGATAGTGCTCGGTGGCACGGACGTAATTTCTGTCTGAATGTTGAGGGTTGAAGCCTCAAATTTTGGTGGCTGTACTATTGAAGGCTGTGAAGGAGATCCTGGAATATAAATCTAATTACTCTATAGATGTATGAAATGTTTATATATTCAAGGTATCCTGATCCTGTCACATGTAATTTTAGGGGAAATTGTTTACAGTAAGGGGTTGTTTATGAAGCACTTGGGTAGACAAAGCTTTTAATTTGTTGAATTTCAAGCGTCATTCATGGATAACGGGTTATAACATATTCTGCAGGAGAACCCAACCATCAATATTCACTACCAAGTGAATACGCATAACATCAATTATCTGAAATTGGCTAGAGAAGGTCTTCATGTTGACAAGGGTCAGTCCACGGTTTTTCTATGAACTTCATGTCATCTATGGCCAATATATGAATGGGTTTTGTTTTGACTGTTAGTTGTACATGGTTGAATTGGCTTTACATCTTTTCTATAACAAAGATAGATGTAATGTTTAATGGGATACATATAGTGAAGACCGACCTAATTCAGTACCGAAAGATGTTATCTCTACAACACAAATGACCTAGATCAAGTATATGACCTCCAACACAATAAGTGGTTTCTACTCTGATTTTGAACTAGACCTGTCAGGTTTAGGTGCAAAATCATCTTCATGCCATAGACAGTTTCGTTAATACTAAATACCAAACCCTTTAGCTATATGCTAATTGCTAAGTTGTTAACTTATTGCCACTCTAAAAGTTAGTCACTTAATAGTTATCAGCTAGCCAATGTTTAAATACGAAATCCTTACGGCTTTATGCTAAGACCCATACCGCTTCAAGTGAAATTGCCCAACTGGACACATCATAAAACTGAAATGTCTAATGCAAACACCCTCAAATCACGGCGCTTTCGGTATTGTGATGTATTTTTAAATGTTATAAATTATTTTATAGCACCAACACACAATGATGCCTAACAATTACAGCATGACTAACAATGTTTTGAAAAACAAGCGCCTAATCAGTCTAGGTGCCTAGGGGAGCATAGACCGCCTACGCGGACTGCACCGTTTAGGTTTTGATCGTGATTTTCTCCGATGCAGCCACCACCTTCTCCAACCTCCTTCAAACTCATCCGGGCTCCACTAACTATGAACACCTCCTCCACCTCCTCCGATACTTTCAGAAAACCTCATTAACCACCACTTAAACAAAGAAAAAAATCTACCTAGGCACCGAGGTACTAGTCCAACGCCTACTAGTGCCTAGTGCTTTCTGTAATATTGGCATGCATTGTCAATTATTGTAACTAAAAAATATAGGAAAACAGCCTAGACCGCCTAGCGCTTTCTGTAACCTTGTTGACTAAACAATATCATCTAAATAATAGGGCATGTCATTCAAATGCTACAACATTTAGGTTTTTCTTCAAGCTCAAGATGCTCAGGAGCACTTCTCGGGCATTTTAACTTTATTAGTCATAAAAGCAAGTTTCATATGCCAGAGCTTTTATATTCATTAAAGCTTTAATTGTCAAAAAGTCAAGCACATGGATCTTATTCCCTAGAAGTCAAACTTTACTAAAATACCGAAGTTTGAGCCAATCATTTTAGAACTTTTAGTTTGAATTTAAATCATTAAAGTACAGGTCCATCCTCATGACAACTTTCTGCTTATCAACATTTTTTTCCAGAAGTAAAGTTGGCACTAAGATTCAGTACTCCAGATGCATCACAAGCATGCATTTACATCCATACACCTTCCCATGTATAGACTAAAAACTTTCTATCTGTTCTTGGAATTGAAGCCCATCATGCAGGTTATATGACCAATGGACTACATATAGTCTTATATAATGGTTCTCGGTACAATAGTATCATGCCAAAGAGTGTATAAGCTAATTTCCTACCTCACAAACAAACTGAATTTTGCCCATATTTCATCATCTTCCAGAAATGTCAAAAAACCAAGCATAATGATAGAACTTCTATAAGACACAAAACTTAATAGCTCTTGAGTCAGGCCTAGGCTCAGAAATACCTCAAAACATTTTCCCACCAATTAGCAAAACACAGAGCAGCATTCAGACGATTAATACAAAGAAAGGAAAAGATACAGAAAGTTACTGAAAGAGCTTGGTCAAAGTGACATGACAGATGAAAGTTCGGTTAGTTGCAGTTAACCTCATGATTACACTAAATTTTTATAATGTTTTTATATATTCCATAATCATCTTTCCACCAACTTGTTTCAATTGTCTTTACAGCATTTTTTCCCATACTTTTAATCTATAAAAGCAAGCACCTCCACTAAGGTGATAACTGATAGTTCATCCTTCATAACGATACTAGTCCACAAAATTATGAAAATATTAAAACTAATATGCATAAAAACAAACAGTATGATCTTGAGGTGGATCAGTGGTGGCACTGTGGCAGTTTAGAGTCATATAATCTGTTCAAAACTCACATGCAGCTCAAAGTTAACACAAAAGCTGTTTCCAGCTACCATCAATGTATAGAGTTTAACTACAATGAATTTCTTGAATACATCTCTTTCCACCCAAAAATGAAATCAGATCCGAATAGGATTTTTATTACTTAATTTTGGACCTAACTTAACTACAGTACACAAATGTTTTCCAGAAATTAGAGAGTTTAACTGTAATGGATTTCTTGAATACATCCCTTTCCATCCTAAAACGAAACCAGATTCGAATAGGACTTCTATTACCTCCCAAAAATGAAATCAGACCTTACTACCTAATTTTTGGACCTAATTTAATTACCATACACAAATGTTTTAGTCTTTTTTAATACTTTTTTTAATCTATAAAAGCAAGCACCTCCACGCTACCTAGTGTGTTGGCTCTCTCTTGAGGTATCTTTTAGTAAACTATGGTGATAGTTCACCCATCTCAATGATACTAGTCTACAAATTTACGAAATAGTATGACCCTGAGGTGGATTTATGGTGGCAGCTATGGCATTTTAAGATCATAAAGTCTGTTCAAAACTCACATGCAGCACTTCTCGAGGTTAACTCAAAAACTTTTTGCAGCTGAAATTAATGTTTACCGTTTAATTATAATTAACTTATTGAATTCATCTCTTTCCACCTAAAAATGAAATCAGATCCAAATATGATTTCTCGTACCTAATTTTAACTACAATCCACAAAAAAAAATTCCAACATTAGGCCACCACAGATATATGTCAACAAGTACCTACTTCTCATTATTCAATTAACAACTAAAACGAAAGAAATTACTTACGAAAATTACACCAAAACAACAAATTGTACAATAAAATTGTTACCTGTCAATCCGTAAACTGGTGAAAAAATGACAACAATCAAGAGAACCCAATGAAGAAGATTCCTTGATTTGCTCCCCATCTTACCCTTTCTCCCTCATAATACAAATTCAATACATGAAAACTCCCAAGGAAACCCAGCATCATTCAGCACTCAGCAGCAGAACTTTCTGAAAAAAGAAAAAACCCACTTCAGTTTGATGAGCAAATGACCTAAATGAAACATAAAACTCATTAAAATTAACAAAATTCAAGCATGCCCATGACGAAAAAAGTTCAAAAGAAGCGGTTTTTGGGCAGGAAATGAAACCAAAGGGGAAGTTTCACTTACCATAATAATTGAAGAAATTAAAAGCTACTGATCTTGTAAGTGTGAAAGAGGGGAAGAATGAGGAGAAGAGAGAGGACAAAGATTACTAGTGAAAGGCAAAGATTCTGAAAGAAATAAAAGAGAATTAGTTTGCATAAATAATCAGGTGTTTCACTGGGTTTTTGTTTCCTCTTGTTAATTTATTGAGTGGAATGGGGTTGGAAATATTTATGTCTCTGCCTGGGTCAAATGGAAATTGTTTTGGATAATATAATAATTTATATTTTCTGTCTTCGACGGAGAAAGGATCCCTGCTGTCTAACTTCTTCACTGCTGTTGAGCTTTGTTTTGGGCTTTTTGACCTTGGTCCTTAAATCTTACACATTTTAAATTAGACCCTCAAATCTCTAAAATTATTATTTAGACCTCCCTTAATCCTACGCATCTTTTCAAATTAAGCCACATTGTAAGTTGTGAGTAGATCTTATGTAACCAGTGCCAGATCTAAAAAATGTGACATGTATATATAAAAATGTGATATATATATATATATATATAGCAAAACTTGTGTCAACTTAAGTGGATCATCCACCAAACTTTCTATTCATTGATGATACTTAGGAATCCATGTAACGCCAATCTGCAGGTCACGCTCCAAATAACACCCGCCAATGCTGCAGGTCGCCAGAATCCCGACCTCTAAATCGCGGGGTCACTTGGGGTCGACACCTCAATTCCTGGGGCAGGTCACAAAATCCCGACCCACAGCCAATCTGCAGGCCAGGCCAAATCCGATGCCCTTGGGCCAAACTCCGTGGGTCGCACTTGGGCTCCGCACCCTCCACTTTGGCGGTCAACAAGATCCGACGCCTCCGACTTTGAGCGGGTCACTTGAATCCCACCCTAGCCAAACCGTCGGTCACTGAAAATCGACCGCGCCGCCGAAAAGCAAGGCAGCAAGCATCGTTCCGGGCTATTTTTGAGTCCCTCCTGAAAATAACAAATCAAGAGCTACCTACCTGTATCCCCAACGATCAAGCGCGGAGGAACTGATAATACTGCGGATGCCGAAAGTACTGCGCGTCACCGACGAGGAGCCTTCATCTCCTACCAAGCGGCTTGGTTTCGCTCTTAAGATCGAGCATCCACAAATCCTTGGTTTGAAGCCGGCGTTATAGCGCTCGCGCAAGATTCGAACGAATGAACACTCCGAATGAGTCATACGAGTATAAAGACAGCTGCTTCTCGACACTGCAGACAGAGTTATAGAGAGATCAAACGTCTTCTTATCCGGAGCACAATCGGTAGAGCAGTTAAACTGCTCCCCTGATAACTCCAATAGAGTATTATGAGCTCTAAGATTGTTGTCTGTACGTTGGATGGTGGAGAGTCCGAGAGGAGAGTCAGGATAACCCGAGTCAATGTAACCGTAGCAAAGTCAGACCAGTTCCCAAGAAGCGAGACTGGGGGTGGATGGATTCATCGGTACATGGGAAGTTCGCCCAGAACAATGCTATATTGTCAATCTTTCGTAGGAACACCGCGTAATTACGAACACAGGTGCATAAACGTTAGAACCCCGCACCGATTTATTGTACTCCCACTCTCCGACTATTACCTGTCAAGAACCTTCCTATCAGTTAGGACCAAGATCCAAAATCCCTCTGTGATTCCCAATGAACGAAGAGGCTCACTTTCAAAATCGAGTGATCAGAATCCTGTCTTATACGTTAGGAATCCGACTACAGTCACTCACTCTTATAGTTCGATGAATCAAACTTCTCGACAGCGTTAGGGGTATCCCAATCTTTTCCAGACTTCTATGCGGAATTGGAGATCACTCTCCAGTTTCACCCTTTCCCGGATTCGGGCGTGACGATCCCAGCGTGCACAGTCTGAGTTTCCTTTCCACACTGAGGAAGAATATAAAGAAACCTTCCCCTTCACTTTGAAAAGATAGGGATGATAGCAAAATTCTTGCTCTCGGCCGCGATCGGGTTCGTCTTATGCCGCCCCAGAGAAGACACCAATTTTTCAAAATCTCCTAAAATCCGTGCTTGCTCACAACCCCGGGTGAGCACTGGGGTATTTTATCCAATAGCCTACAGGTAGGGATAGAGTAACGCACTAACTCGCGTTGCCGCCGGTTTGAGCTCTTCAATGATGCTGAAAAAGACACCCAGAAACCAGTCTGGAGGCATTTATCTTATATATATGCGGATACAGTCAACGCTTAGCCCGTCGTTGCCTGGGTGGCTCGTTCCCGGGGGGCGAAAAAATGACCGCGAAAGTGCTACCGTATTCAGGCATGCGTAGCAACAAATCCATGCCTTCTATCCATGGGGAAAAGTTTAATCTCGCGAATCCTATAGCAGGGGATACAGTCAAACGTCTAACACCCGTTGCCGCGTTAGTCCCCTTTTGCCCGTGAAAAGACAGAAAGTCACAAATATTCGAGGCGTTCGTGGCGCACGGTCTTATTACATAACGCCAATGTTCGTTCGCGCTGGCAGCTGAGCGGACTTGGGGGGCAAAGTTGTTGATCCCGGAAGTCCTGAGTCAGTGGATAAAGTCAAGCCGCCTAACACGCGTTGCCGTCGTTAGTCTTTCACCGATTGAGAAAAGCCAGCCAGACGTATAATCTGGGCGGACTTCATCCCCGAATTCTAAGTAAGCAGATGAGTCGACGGCCGCTAATACCCTTGCGGAGGTGTGAGCTCTGTTAACCGATTAGAAAAAGACACCAGAGTCACACTTCTGGGGATCTTTCATCCTGAATTCCTAAGTAGGGATGACTCAACGCAGGATACTACCGGGAGCTGTCATATTCCGTAAGAAGTGGCGGGAGTTTCATCGCCACCCCCAACAACACCCCACAAGGCATTAAGTCCTTAAGGAGTTCATTCCTTTAAGCAACCAAGCGTCAGCGTGCCGAAGCGGACTGTAAACAATGGCCGCATGCCAAGCCGCGATCAAACGTAACTCGTAAACGGCACGCCCCCGGTGAACACCACACGCTCCCTATGAGACGCTGAGATTAGTTTGCACACAGACACAACCGTTAAAGTCTACGGTCTGATACTACGTGAGTCTTTTCACAGGAAAAAGACGAAGTCGTACGTATTGGCAATATCGTAGCACTAATAACGAGTTAACTCTTTTAGCATAGCGTTACAACTGCGGACAACGGACCTTAAAACAAATCTGTCATGGCTAGCCTCGGATTGTCGAAGAGACGTACGTCGTAAAACTGGCGTTATCAAGACTGCTTGTTGATCGGCTGAGATGGTGGCCAGAACCAATTCTTAACTCGAATGGGCGAAGTCATTGAGATCTATAGATTGGATACATAGATGCCAACAAACTGTCATGATAAGATCCATCACGTGCAGATGAATCGAGCTGTTAAGATAGGTGGTTGCCTAACACAGAACCGACAACATGTCGGGGAACCGTCCGGGGCACCACTCAATACAATAACATATACAGCTAAACCGACAAACGTAGCGAGTAGTAGAACTGGTGGCGGCATTGTGGAACAGAGACTGTCCCAACCCGCGTTACAGTAAAACGATGGCCGGCGGGGTTCAAGCGCATGCCAGGCACAGTTCTCCGGCCCATAATGAAGGGCCAAAGATGACTGACTGCTCCAAGATCTTCATTACAATCAATATGATCTCGCCGCTGGACGGAGAGAATCAGTTGTCTAAAGCGCACTCAAGGTGGCGACATCTAATGGTCAGAAAGGTCGTACATCACACGCATGCGTCAGTTCAACGATTCGACCAGCCGTCAGAGCAAAACGCACGGCGCCGGAAGGAATACCTTCACCTATCTCGACGAACACAATGAATAGATTGAAGCGCTGAAGAATTTGAATGAGGTAAGTTAAAGTCGCTCTACCGAACATAGGGAAGATGGCCGTATCTATCCAAAACATTCCCAGCACCCTGCTATAAAAGAAAAGAGTCTATAATACTTTGGAGGGGGTATTCTGTAGGCGTCTAAAAATGGCCTATCGGGTCCCCCACACAGCTCCAGACGAAAGAGAAAGGTGATACGTCGTTATCACAAATCAAAGAGGATTATCCAACCGGACAGGGCAGTGAAGGAATCGGCCAGAACCGGTGATCGACCAAGGCGCCACAACGGAACCCACACCAAGATGGAAAATCACCAAGTGGGAAGCCCCCCCGCGAGCGTGGCGGTTGAATGCAAGCCTCAAAGCGTACAAAGGCAGGCGCCTCAACATCAGTTAACAGTCACAAGCACGCATCATTCAGCTCGTGCATGCATCAGTGGCGCGCCGTCAATCGCAGTGTCACGATGGCGTCAATCGAACGTACATTAATCAAAAGGCAGTCGGTAGGAGCATACAGTCAACACGACCGATGAGTAAGACGAGAAACTAAAAATCCTGAAATGAAAAGTCGTTAAAACACAAGAAACTCAGCGAAACTCAGCGGAGCCCGCGCACGGAACGGACCAAACCGACCCGCCGGAGAGGTGCGGTCGGAATGATCCGACCGCGGGCAAAAGCGGGGTGCGGAAATTGATGCCGACCCGGCACGCGCGGCGTCGGAATCAAGCCGCGGCCGCGGCGGCGCGGGTCGGACAAAGACCGACACGCGCGGCGCGGTCCGACAAAACCGACCCGCGGCGGCGCGGGTCTCGCCATTTTGCGTTTTCGGGTCTGTGTTCAGTCCGACCCGCGCCCGCGCGGTCGGGATCGACAAGCCGGACTCGCGCCGGCGCGGGTCGGTTCCATCCGACCCGCGAAGCGGCGGTCAGGACTGTCCTGCGTGCGTCTCGTTCGATCGGGTTTCGATTTTGGATGATTTTTCTCCGAGATTTGTTGGTTCAGGAGTGTCCACTGACTTGATATCGATCTACAAACGGGTTAGGCTGTTGTCAACTTGAGAGATAGAGCCAAATCACTTGTTCTCCATCCAAAAACCGCAGTTCGGCCTATAATAGTGAAGTTAGAAGGTCCATTTTCAGGGAGCGATTGATACTTAAGAGGACGAGTGCGCTGATGGAGGGAGTCAAAGGAGCACGAATTTCGCGGAGGAATGACAAGTCTGGCGAGTTTTTCGGAATAAAAGAAGGAAGAGTCGAGAGATCTGAAGGCCCGTTCCTCCGGTTCCTGTAGCATCCAGGCTTGGTCTTGAATCTCGAGCAAAGAGCCCTGATTTCGCTTTGGCGCTCGACGTCTCAGCGCTTCAAATCAAATACTTCTCGGGCCGAATGGGGGCGACG